AGCATTCTCAGGACGTAGTGGAGACAGGTCAGTCCCAGAGTCTCTTAGCTCTCATGCAAGCCAACGCATGCTTGAACCCTGGAGTGTTCAGGGGTGGCCGGCACGAGAATTTCGAAGAATTTTTGAGAAGATTTAAAAGGAAATATCGAGGGGTGATAAGGGACGATGAGGTACTAATTGAAATTATGGGGGATGACCACCTCGAAGGTAGGGCGAAAAGTGTATTTTTAGCGCTTCCAGAAGAAATCAAAGCGAGGGGCTTTGAAAGCGTAGCGGAAGCACTAAAAAACGCTTAGCTAACGACTCAACAGCGGGGAGGTTACGGGCATTAGCAGACCTCAGGCAGCTGAAACGTAGGAAAGGCCAGAGTGTGGCTGATTTTTGTGTTGTGCTCGAGAAGCTGGGAAGGCAAGCCAATCCTACCGCTTCGGTAGGGGACCGGGACTCGAGTATGCACAAATTTTAATGGATAATTGGAGGGGATGGCCGCAGCATACGCAACTGCTCACCGCGAGTCACAGGGTAGAGCCGCAGGAAGTTTATAGTACAGTAAAGCAGTTAGCCTTAAGCATAGAGCAATCAAAGGAAATGTTCGACGGCGGAAATGAAATTAAGAGGTACAATTGGAAAAAGAGGTATCAGTTCCATGAGCACAGTGGGAAAGAACTACAAGAGCCAGACGAACAAAGGACAATAATTGTGAATAGCAGGACAGATATGAGTAGATGTGTGGAAGTGGATCAAAATAGAGCTACAAGAGGAGTGGCATGGAGAAAAACAAGTTGTTCTGGGAAGCCGGCTTGTCAAGAAAAGCTCTATACAGGGCTTGGAAGGCCTGAGGAAAGAGGAGGCACGGATCAGAGAAGGTGTTTCAATTGTAGAAGATATGGACATATTGGGAGAGAATGTCCGCATAAGCATACGCAAGTAAACCAGACTGAGAGAACTAAGGGGTTCCTGCAAAATGGAAAACAGGCTAACCTGACCGAAGTGATAGGTAAAGCGACGAGCCTAGGACTTAAGGTATATATGGGGAGTAAAGGTTCATTGGTAGGTGAGAAACATGCGGCCCAAATAAGCATGCTAAACCTGCAGTTACCAGCTATACTGGACACAGGGTCGATGATTAGCATTGTTCCTGTGGGGGTGCTGGCACGCGCGAAAAAGGCAGGTTATGACGCAGATGTTTTAGAGGTGATACCCGACAGAAAGTTAAGCCCGGTGTATGACGCCTCGATCAACAAGATGAACTTTCTGGGAGCAGTTAAAATCCCTGTAAAATTAGAAGGGGGAAAGAAGAGCACAGTAGCATTCCACATATCGGATGTCAAGGATGATGATGTACTGATCGGCACGAATGCATTGGCAGCTTTGGGAGTCGATATAATATTCAAAACGGAGGAAATGCAGCAGGATGTGCTCGACGGGAAAAGAGTAGTAGCAACAAAGCGGGTGTACATTCCTCCACATAACTCAATACTAGTGCCGGCGCGATGTGAAGGAGGCAGTGAACTAGAAGAGAATGTAATGTGGCCAAGTAGGGAGGACCTACCCGTCGGGGTGTTCACAGTGAAGAATTAGGAACTGGACATTCCAGTCATGAACACCACGGAGAAGCCAATGATTCTTAAAGAAGGAGAGGAGCTAGGACAATGGGGCACAGAGAAGTGAAGAAGTAAGTGGGAAGAAATGAATCCACTAATGATGGACAATGAGATACCACACCTTGATAGGGAGGAACGCCGTAACATCCTGTATGCACAGCTGAAGGAAGGGTCCAAGGTAAAGCAACTAGATGACGACTTGAAACAAGTGGTGGACGAATTCGAGGAGGCATTTGCCGTGCTCGACACAGAATTAACAGGAACAGACAGAGCAGAAATGTCCATTGAAACTGGGGATGCCAAACCAATAAAGCTGAAAACTAGACCCGTGCCGCTAGGGATTCGCAAAAAGCTGAAGGAGCTTTTAGGGGACCTGGAAAATAGGAAGATCATAGAAAAAAGCAGTTCAGCCTGGGCATTCCCGATCGTGTTGGTGGAAAAGAAGGATGGTAGCTTGAGGCTATGCGTGGACTACAGGGAGTTAAACAAACGGATCAAGCTAGACTCGTATCCACTGCCTACGATTGATGCAGTGCTACAGAGCCTGTCAGGCAAGAAATTTTTCTCCACGCTAGATTTATGTTCGGGGTACTGGCAAATACCACTGGCACAGGAAGCAAGGGAGAAGTCGGCATTTACGACAACAGAAGGGTTATTCCAGTCCAGAGTAACTTTTTTTTGGTTGAGTACAAGTCGTGCGGTATTTCAACGTCTTATGGATTCAGTACTACGAGATGTATTAGGGGATGAAGTTCTCTGCTATATCGACGACATAATCATATGTGCAAACACACGAGAGAGGCATTTTGAGCTACTTGGTAAGGTATTCAAAAGCTTGCAAGAAGCGGGACTAAAATTGAAGGCGAAGAAGTGCGTTTTGTTACAAGAAAAAGTGGCGTTTTTGGGGCATGTGATCGACTGTGAAGGAGAGTGCACATGGACCCCAAAAAGGTAGAAGCAATCGAGAAGTATGCGGTTCCGAAAAGTTCCAAAGAGCTGAGAACATTTCTCGGCATGGCATCATACTACCGCAAATTCTGCCTTGGATTCTCCAAGGTTGCGGGGAGTTTATTTGCGTTGACCTCGCCCAAAACTGTGTGGAAATGGGAGGCAGAGCATGAAGAAGCATTTTCTAAGCTGAAAAAAATGATAGCATCTGCGCCTGTATTGATGCAGCCGGATATTGAGAAAGCAAGGGAAGGATCCCGACCATTCGTGATATGCACAGAATCCACGGTAGGGTTAGGAGCGGTGCTGTCCCAAGAGGGGGACGATGGGCTAGTACACCCAGTCTACTTTGCCTCGAAAGGACTCAGCAAGGCAGAGAGGCGGTACCACATTACTGATGGAAGTTTAGCCGTAGTGTTTGCGGTAAGACGCTTCCACATGTTCATACATGGACTTCCTACCATAGTTCTGATAGATCACCAACCCTTGACAGCGCTTTTCAGTAGGAGTAACGTATCGGCTAGAGTACTAAGATGGTCACTAGAAATGCAAAGATACAATTTGGTAATAAAGTATGTGAAGGGAAAGACTAATGTCGTAGCAGATGCTTTAAGTAGGGGCTCTATAGAGCGTGGAGCCTGAGAAAATGCGGATGCAAGTGAGGCCGTTGTGAGTAGACTAGAGGTAGAACAAAGAAGTAGGTGGCTAAAAAAGCTAGAAAATGATGAGGTTTTTGGTCCGGTTATTGCCATGTTGGAAAAAGGAGAGCTGGGCAAATCGATAAAAATACCAGGGTTGCGATATCCTATGCAAGTAGCCAATTTCGAGATCGAAAGCGGGGAACTGAAGATGTACCAGGAGGAAGAGAATTTGGTTATGGTAGTACCTAAAACCGCAAGATATGAAGTGTTCCATGAAGCACATGCGGGGAACTTTGCCGGACATTTTAGCGCTCATAAGTTATGGAATAGACTCAAGAAACAGGTGTTCTGGCCTAACATGCTAGCAGACATAAGTAAATGGACAAGAGAATGTCAACGGTGTTTTCTACATAACCCAAGAGCGACAGTGAGACCACCGCTGAAATCAATCGTTACGAAGAAGCCGTACGAAATCATAGGGATTGACGTGCTGGAACTTGGCCTGACAACAAGCGGAAACAGATATGCTGTTACGGTCATTGACCACTTCTCAAAGTATGCGGCAGCATATCCGTTTCCGGACAAAACGGCTGAAACGATCGTAAAGGTTTTATTCATAAGGTGGATAGCAGAGGGATGTAGATGGCCCAAAACAATACTATCTGATAAGGGTGGAGAGTTCGAAAATAAGGTCATGGCAGAACTCACAAAAATTACAAAAATCGAACATGTAACTACGAAGGGGTATAATCCACGAGAAAACGGTATAACAGAAAGGTTAAGTGAGACTATACTGGTCATGCTGCGTAAAAGCCTCGCGGTTCCAGTGGAATGGGATGCGAGACTGCCCTTTTGCATGGTGGCATACAACCTTACTCCACATAGTGCTACGGGAGAAAGTCCATATTTTGCGCTTCACGGCATGGACCCAAATTTCCCCTCAGCAGTAATCCCAAGTGGAGTGATCTCTTGGTACTCCATGGTAGAGAACATGGCGGATTACAAAGCGCAGTTATTGCAAGTTGTAGCGGAGGCACTTGAGCGTGTGAAAGAGTACAATGACAGAGTGAGAAGGGAGATGAAGCGTCTGTATGACGACCGGAATAAGGTAGATGCTGCAAAACTTTCGAAGGTAGGCGACAGGGTCTACCTTTTGGCGCCTAAAGAGAAAGGGATGAGCACGCATCCGAATCAGTGTCATAATGGACTAGACCATTTCGAGTAATAGAAACAAGCCAAAATTACGCGTTAATTACGAGAATAGGTGAAGAAACGGAACCCATACAAGTTCAGTTTGATATGTTAAGGATAGTTCCGAAATACATCTCCGATGAGCCCGTAGATACAGTGACTAAAAGGGGCAAAAGAGGGAGGAAACCTAAAGTTAGTGTAACGAAAGTAACAATGCTTTCTTTCAGAGGTGCGGTGATTGCATCCAAAACCGAAAAAGGACATCTCGAGTACCAGTGTAAGGATGGATGCTTGAAGAGAGTCTGTCTTGGAGAGTTAGAAGGAACAAAGTTTCCTAGAGCACTGGCAAAGGAACCGATTGAAAATCTGTGGAAGGCCTGGAAAGCCGCAGGCATCTTCGCAAGGACTGACATCGACATGGCCTCAAAGATCAAATTCTGGAAGGATGGAGTCGTTTGTATGGACCCAGATGGACTGAGGAAACTACTGTGAGTGGCGTATAAAAGATGCATCGATTGGACTGAATTTATTTGCGAAAACGAAGGAATAAGGCGCCACGAAAGGATCGACAATTACGAGTTTGACAGGATTTACGACGCAGCCTTCAAAAGCCAAAATGGAATTAGAAGGCGAAGAACAAGGCCATGGACCGGTAAAGGAAGGCGGCACATCATTCGCAGCTCCAGCGTCAGCACTGTTATTGGAACGAGATGGACCGAAACGAGGCATTCTCACAAGAGTTGCCACCACCTTCACCCAGCTAAAGGAGGTCTTGCAGGAATGGAAGGAATAGCGCACATGGATTATCGTCTGGCCGAAAGACCAACTGGCAGTAACAGTGACTTATGCGAGGTAATGAGAACGTGCATGCAGCAGTTTGAAGAAGGTGGAAAAATCGTGACTGTCTGGCCCCCTATAATGGAGAAAATCGCGGACGAATGGAAAAAGCTTATAGAACTCTGGGAAGTCTTCGATCAGACGTTGCTGCACCAGGCTAAACCAGGACAATGCATAGTCACTGGAACGAAGGTGGAGGACGGCAAGATTATGATTGAAGCAGGAGCACCAGAAAGCTGTTTGTTCTACTATAGTGCTTCGGATCTTCTTGTCGCGTGCGCAAAGATACTGTACGAGGCCGTGAGAAGAAGAGTCGCGAAACAGATGGCGCTGCCTGAATTAAAGAGGAATGACCCGCCGATGAGGTCATCGGTTGCCGAAGGGGGGAGCGTGTGGAGAGGGCCGTACAAGAGATCAACGTACGAAAAGCCCGCGAAGCGAAGTTATGGCGGGAACCACAGGGATATTAGGAAGTGTGCGCCGAGACCTGCATTCCCCCGCGAAGGATCTCAGACTCGATATCGTTTTCTCATCTCATGCGGTTGCCTTGATCGAGCTTTCTTTTCATCTTGTTCTTTGTTGTTTTTCCTCGTTGTTCTGTAGTAAAGTTTTTGTTGTTTGATTTCCTGTTCTGAATTACCGGCTTGGAGCCGTAGATCCCTATCGCAGAACCCGGTGAGGGGTACAGCTGACTGAAGAGAAATCACAGTTACAGCAGGCAATTGCTGAGGCTAACGATCTAGTATATGTTATCACTGCACGATCAGAGAACCTAAAAGTATCAAGGAAAACATGTTGATATATCTATATTCCATCTACAAACGGCAAAGGGACGAATATCGTAGAACGTGTTTCGGCAGTAAATGAATACCGAAGACAGCGCAAATCGGTTTTCAAGACGAGACAACTCTCATATCATCACAAAACTCTGCACCTGGTCAACATCACAAATGGTAGCTCAGACACTCGTGATTGACTTGACCGCAAAGGAAACTTATGTAGCGACACAATGACTAGGGGACTCAATCAAATCTGTCGAGAAACTTTGGACACCGGCATCTTGATCGGGAAGTTACTGCCCGAGACAATTAGGTACTTGCCGCATTCATGCAAAACGGGAGAAAATCTAAACTTCAGCGAGAAACAGTGATGTGATAATGTTTGATTGCAGCGCGACTTTCCCTCATCAGTGTTCTCTTGGAAATAAGTATTTATCAGTATTTAAATGCATGTTTATCAAAAACTTCAAAAACATGTGTGCACAGTACGCTTGACTTCATTTCTTCAGGAAACGTAAATAAAATCAAACGCTTGAGCACAAGAATAAAGCTACGAAATCAATGCATTTCTTTTAGTCCGCGTAGTGATAATGAGAAAATTCAATCACAAAGGGTAAAAAGGTAAAGAGCGATGAGATCCTGAGCTACGAAGTTTTCGTCACCTTTGTCGTCTTTTAATTTTCATGATGTATACAGGATCGGGTCGACTGTGGTTGTGGTGCGCTTTTTTTGAAAAGGGTGTCATTTTGTAGCTGGTGCGCATAGGATAGATGTATAAAGTGCGGCTCATAATCATGCGAATCCCTATATCTTGGGAGGTTCGCGATTTTATGAAAATTTCAAGAAACCGTTGGTATTATAAAAGAGCATAACCGAGAACGGGCACGGTACAATAATGAAAATTGGTGTCAATCTTAAATATTTTTGGACCCAATGCGAATTTTTCAACGGTTCGTGATTATGGGGACATCTTGAAAGTAGCCTCTTTTTTGACTCAAAACTGCAACTAAATTTTTGGTAATTTTCCTTCATCCGGATCCATTTTTCAAAAAGAAATATTGCTTTCTTCCTTGTATCGTCGCCTTCCCTGTGTACGTTGGACGGAGCATCTACATACATCTGAACACGTTGGTGAACTTGTTAACCCTCTAATGCATGTCATTGTTCTTTGTAATCTCTCGCTATCAATCTGCCACGTACGAAGCAGCTGTACTGGCAATTTAGAGAGTATCATCGGCTCCGCGATTCGTGTAGGGGCTGGGTTTTGCCAACTCAAAGCGTGGCGGTTTTTGATAGCGAGAGAGTACAAAAAACAATGCTATGACGTGGAAGTTTAACAAATTTACTTGTTTTATCAGGAAAAGTCTGCAATACACCTCTACACGAATCGTGGGGACGATCATACAATGATATGCTTTGCAGTAGAGATTTGAAAAGTCGCCAACGTAAATGTCTTGCTTGCTTCGCCTTACGTACACCGGGGAGATGACGGTATAAAATTGGTCGAAACTTCACATGATAGAGTGTCTTCTGTCAAGTGTTAGAAAAATTGAAGTCATCTATACAGATAATCGCCGGGGCAGGCGACCATGCTAATCTTGAGCAAGCGGGCACCAGAAAAATAGTTCGCTGATTTCATGCAGTCCGCTTGCAAAAATTTGAAATAATCTTGGCCAATTTTTAGTGGAATGCTCGGAGAAGTATCGCTCGGAGAAGCTTTTTCTATAGATTAATTGCGGCGCAGTGGCCGCATTCTCGCGGACTTTCCGCGAGGATATGCAAAAATATTGAGGGCCGCACGGTCTTTTGTGAAGGACCGCATAGCCCGTAGGTACCTTTTGCTGAAAGAAGGTACCTCTTAAGTCATTAAACCATCGATGACACCTCTGCCACATAGAGTCTCACCATTGCTCGACGTACCCGAAACTGCGTTGCTGAAAGTTTAGCCAGCGCTCGCTGAAAGAAATTATTTGCCGAGCAATGCAGAAAATGCTGTATTGTTGCCCGCTGGCAGAATTTGCGACAGTAAAGGAAGTGCCGCCCGCTGAAGGTTTGGCCACGCCCCAAAATTCTGCTGACCGCCTGCAGAAAAGCGCGAGTTTGCGGACCGCATGCCCCCGGCGATTATCTGAGTACATGTTTGACACGTTTTACCGAGCCGAAAGCTTGTTTAGCCTTCCGAATGTAAGTTGTTCAATCTGTTGTTGACCTATTCGACAGTTTAAAAAATAGTCATTGTCATTATGAAAATAACATAAATAATGAATAATGAAATGTATATTAAACACATTATATTGGCCCGAATTTTGAGTGCGTTAATGTTCTATCATCTAAGCGCCGTAACAAGCAGCACTTACGTACTTCAAACCGTCATTTACACTCTATCCTGCTAAATCCGCATACTGCAAACAAGTTGAAGAAAAAGATATGTTTGTATTATTGCTAATAGCCGCCAAGAAGTTTTATTTCATAGAACATATTGTTGCACTATTATAAAAAACGTTGGAGAGCTATTCAGTCATTTCGAATGCTTTCCAACTTCAACGAAAATGATGTAAAAAAATGTGTCACACTATGCCCAAACGTGTTGGACACGTGGCAGAGAGGCAGCCCTCTTTAGATCATAAAAAATTGTCTAGGTTCAGCGCATAACACATCGGAAATAAAGGAAAAAAGCGCCCGGATAACAGAAAAGTAATAAAATTTTTTGTAAGGTTAAAGGCAATGGCTCGGCAGAGTGACATCTTCGGGATATTCATCGTTCTCGGTTCCCCCGGATGGGCTAAGTCCAAGATTGTGCTTTGCAGCTTTAAAAGATATCAATAATCCGTTCGCGCTCTAGAGGGCAGGCATACGCCGTCCGCCCAAGTAGCACTTTTCACGTCTGGAAAAGCGGATTATTGAAATCTTTTGAAGATGCAAAGCACAGTTCTTTGACTTAGCTCATTCAACAAACCGAAAAGGATGATTATTCCAAAGTTATTATTCTGCCGAGTAGCTGCCTTCAAGACAGAGATATCTGCTACATACCAAACCTAATACAGTTCAAAAATAGGCGGTGCTCCAGCTGAAAATGCTTTTAGAGTCAGCGCCCTCCAAAATTGATTGTCTTTCTGTGACTAGCACTCCAAATAGCTTCTATCTAGATTTTCAGATAAATCAAGCTTTCTTGTTAGTTGAGTTGTTCTATTTCACGCTTGTAGAATCCTTGTGCATTCGTCGCGTTTTTCAACCAAGTCTAACCTATCCTAGAATTAGCATAATATCGAGCCTCAAACTCAGTTCAGTATTCTTATCATAGATTAAGCACAGTGCACTTTTTTCTTCTTTTTTGTTACTTTTTTCTTCGTGTTTCTCTTTGTTTTTAAGGTTTCATGTTTGGCTAGAGAAGTTCTAAGTCATCGAACGTTTATTTCGGCTGCGCTGACCTCATCTTTGAGAAATATCTGTGTTTACTACTGCAACCATGTTTTGTTTTCTTGGCCTTTTAGCTCCAATGCCCAAGTTTATTCCAAAAAAATTCAAAAACTTCAGCATCAGCATGCAGGCACTTGTCCTATCGCAACTCCTTGTGCGAGACAGAAGCTGGTTTTGAGGTTCGAAATTGTGCTAACTCCAGGGCAAGGGTTGTAACCTGGTTGAAACGCGACAAGTGCAAAAGGATTTGTACACGATATGAATGAAATCTCAATCGAAAAAGCTTAGTCTATCTCGTAGATTTGACAGAAGCTAATTAGAGTGGTTGAGCCACAGAAAACAGACATTTTGGACTGCACTGACTCCGAAAGCATTTGGAACCACTTGAAAGAGTAACGCTCAGCTTTGAGCTGCATTGAATTCAGTGTCAGATATTTCAGAATTTGTTATTGTAATGAAAAATTCTGATCATTTGAAAGACTGTAGTTCAAGAGAGAGCTTGACTTGAGGTGCTCGTAAAATTATGAGCTTCTGAAACTCGCATTCGGCGCAAAAACATTCCTAAAAACAGCACTGATTTTAGTTCTTGCGCCGCGTTTATAATTTTTGATCAGTGCAACCAAAACTCGATTCCTTCTCCAACCAGCATAAAAGATTCCTATAAAAAGAAGCAGCAGCGAAGGAGTGCTTGTTGCGCTACTTGCTATCCAGGGTGAAGAAACACTCGCTGAAAATTACGAGGACTGAATGCTTAACGAGGAAGACACATACTAAATGGGAAAGATAAGAAGTGTCAGAGAAAAAAAACCAAAAAGTTTTCAAGTTTCTTGACTCTAATTTAGACTGGATTGGCTAGAGGCTCAAAACAAACTGCTGTTTGCTTTGCTTGAGAATAGAATTGCAGAAGAACGCTCGCTTGCTCTTCGAAGGCGGGGTAAGAGCTCCTTGCGCAGTGATCCTCAACTCTCTAAATCCGGCGAAGTGTTGACCTGGTTCAGTCCTCATGCATCGTTAAAAAGTCAAAGGAAAATTGCAAAAGGGAACAAGATACGGCTTGGGAAACCATGACAATACCGATACATCAATGAAAAATACGAAGAAAGCAATTAGGTGCAGCCTGTAGAGCGAAAACGATGCCGAAA